GAGTTTCCCAAACCCCCAACTGTGGGGGCGCCCACCCTCAGTACCTCCGTCTTGTCCGGGTTCAGCCTCAGCCCATTCTCCTGCATCCATTGCAGTACGGTCCCCAGGTAGCGCTGAAGGGACAGAACGGCATCTCCTGCGGTAGGTGGAAAGGAGATGTACAGCTGAGTATCATCAGCGTACTGATGACACTGGGCCCCACATCCCCGGATGACCCCACCCAGCGGCCTCATATACTGTAGATGTTAAACAGCATTGGGGAGATAATCAACCCCTGTGGAACCCCACAGTTGAAACTCCACGGGGCCGAGAGAGTCTCCCCAAGCTGTACTCTCTGGGGTTGGTCCTCCAAGAAGGAGCGGAGCCAGGCCAGCGCCAGGCCACCGATTCCCAGCTCGGAGATCCTCCCCAGGAGGATACCGTGGTCAATGGTATCAAAGGCCGCTGAGATGTCGAGGAGGACCAGCAGGGACACTTTCCCTCTGTCGGCCTCCCTCAGTAGGTCATCGCACAGGGCGACCAATGCCGTTTCTGTACCATGGCGCGGCCTGAAGCCCGACTGAAATGGATTCAGGGCATCTGTTTCGTCCAGGTGCGCCTGAAGCTGATCGGCCACCACCCTCTCGACCACCTTGCTTAGGAAAGAAACATTGGCGACGGGCCTATAATTCCCGATCTCGTCCGCTGCCAAACTTGGTTTCTTCCTAATGGGCCTAATGAGTGTCTTCTTGAGGGCCGATGGAAATCGGCCCTCCAGGAAAGACCCATTAATTATTACAGTGGCCCATTCCGTTGTTATAGGCCTGGCTGCTTTGATTAGCCAGGCCGGGCAAGGGTCAAGGGAGGAGGTGGTGGCCCAACAGCGATCAAGCGCCCTGGCCACAGTGTCAGGCATGACTGGCTGAAAAGAATCAAAAGTTATACAGTGGTGCCTCGCTTAATGGGCACTCCGTTTAGCGACAAAACTGCATAGCGACGAAGATTTTGCGATCGCAAAAGCGATCGCATTGCAATGTTTTAAATGGGGTTTTTTCGCTTTGTGATGATCGGTTCCCTGTTTCGCTTACCGATCATCGCAAAGCGATGATTTTTTAACAGCTGATTGGCGGTTCCAAAATGGCCACCGGGTTAAAAAAAATGGCCGCCCACTGTGTTTAGGGACAGATTCCTCACTTAAGAGGCAGCGAAAATGGCCGCCGTATGGAGGATCTTCGCTTTAAGGTGAGTTTTAAGCCCATAGGAATGCATTAAACAGGTTTTAATGCGTTTCTGTGGGTTTTTTAAAATCACATAGCAATGAAATCGCTTAGCAGCGATTTTTGCTGCACGGATTAACGTCGCTATGCGAGGCACCACTGTACAGAGGAAAGTAAGTTCCAGTCTCCAAAGGCAACGTGCAGATGAATTTAGAACAGTGCGCCACACTTCAGTGTGCTTGTGTCACTGCCGTGTTCAATAGAAGAAGCTAGTATGCTTAAAGATTAAAAGGACAGGGATGAAATGCATTGGAACTACTATTAAAACATTTGGAGGAGGGCTAATGTCCTTTTATTCAAAAAGAGCAAAAAGGAAGAAGAAGGGAACTACATACCAGTCAACCTTACATCAGTCCAGGGAAAAATTCTGGAGCAGATTCTAACACAGTAATTCTGCAAGCACCTTTTAAAAACTGCAGTAATAAACAGAGGTCAATGTGGATTTGTCAAGAACATATCCTGCCAAACTAATCTTATATTATTTTTTGATCTGGTAATCTCCCTTGTAGACAATGGGAATGCTGTAGACATACTGTATCTTGATTTCAGCAAAGCCTTTGACAAAGTGCCCCATGATTAGCAAACTCACTAGGTGTGGGCTAGGTGTCAGGTGGATACACAGTTTGTTACAGAATCGTATTCAGAGTGCTTATCAGTGGTTCCTTCTCAAACTGGGAGGAGGTAACAAGTGCGGTACCACAAGGCTCAGTCCTGAACCCAGTGCTCTGCAACATTTTTATTAATGACTTGGATGGGGAGGTGCAGGGAATGCTTTTCAGATTTGCAGATGACACCAAATTTGGTGGAGTAGCTAATACCTTGGAAGACATGAACAAAATTCAAAAAGATCTTGATAGACTTGGAGCACTGGGCTGAAAACAACAGAATGAAATTTAACAGGGATAAATGCAAACTTCTACACCGGGGGGGGGGGAGGACCACAAATGCACAATTACAAGAGGTACTTGGCTCAGTAATGCAAATGAGACTGATCTTGGAATTGTTTTAGATCACAAGCTCAATATGAGCCAAAAGTGCAATGTGACTCCAAAAAAAGGCAGATGTTATTTTAGGCCACATTAACAGAAGTATAGTCTCCAAATCTCATGAGGTAATAGTACTCCTCTATTTGGCATTGGCTAGGCCTCATCTAGAGTATTGTGCCCAGTTCTGGGCACCTCAGTTTAAAAAGGATGCCAGAAAGTGTATTAGTAATTGCATAACTCTGTATTTTTATTTATGTGGTATTACAGTAGATCTAAGCATGCTAAACAATTTAACCAGTTTATTTTATTTATTTTTTTCCCATTTAAAGGGAGTGATACGGTAGCATCCACTGTCTCGGAACTGGGTCCTACTGTTCCTGTAGCAGCCAGAAAGGAAGGAATCATAGGAGCTGAAAGCAAAAAGAAGGAAAATATTTTAAAGAAAAAATGTCTTTATCATTTTCAAGATGCTTTTATGGACACCAATGAAGTAGTTATGGCAACATCTTCAGCAACATCTTCAGTTTCATGCACGGCTACTACTGTACAGTCAAGCAACAACCAGTTTAAAGTTTCATCTAAAAGATCATCATCACTAAGTAATTATTATTTAATACAATTTTTGTCATGGTCTTTAAGGTAACAAAGTTGCCAAAACAGCTTACATAAAATTTTAAAATCAGAGTTACGCAATCAATACAAACTGCACAACAGTAGAACAGAAAGAGCAGCACATATTCATCATTATAGCAAGTGTAAGCTGATTAGCTCTAAAATATCTGAGAAGTGTAAAAACAAAATTCTTCATCTGGCACAGGAAAGAAAATTCATGAAATATCATAATTCGCTTCTCTAAAGAGGGAGTTCCAGCTATGGGACATCACAACTGAAAATACCGTATTTCCACACAATTCTTGTTTTGGTTGTTCTGGGTTTTTTGGGCTCTTTGGCCGTGTTCTGAACGTTGCTCTTCCTGACGTTTCGCCAGTCTCTGTGGCCGGCATCTTCAGAGGACAGCAACGTCAGGAAGAACAACCTTCAGAACACGGCCAAAGGGCCCAAAAAACCCAGAACAGCCATTAGATCCCGGCTGTGAAAGCCTTCGTGAATTCTTGTTTTACTTCTTATAGTGGAAGGACCTGAAGAAAGGCCTTTGAGGTTAATCTTAATTCTCTGGATGGTTTGTGCAGAAGAGAAAACAATTTATGAAGAGAAAACAATTGTCCCATCAGCATAGTTGTATTGGAACCTTGCTTTCACACAAGGCAAATGTATTACAGCAAAGCAATCCTCTCTGAACCAATCCTCTCTTGCTTTCAGTGACCTGCAGTCCATTGATTTAATAGCTTTCTTGGAAGCATTGACCCCTTCCCTCTTTTCTGATATTTCTGTTTTCTGCTTGAACTCTTTTTTTATTTTCAGCACTGGATGTTTTCTTAATCTTCCTCCCATTGTAAATGTCAACTGTGCAACCAGAACATGATAGGATGCTTTTCTGTTACTGTACTTTCAAGCACACTGCTGTTTCTTCTAATCAGGTGGGGGGAGTCCTTGGACTTATCCTGCCTCTTTATCACCTTTACCATCTTTGTGCTTTAGTATCCTGATACAGTAGGACCCCCATATCTGCTGGAGGTTGGTTCCAAGCGAGGGGAAAAAAACCAGAAAAAATATTTTAGCGTGCATTACCAGGAACCATGCTATGAAGTTTTCACTAACAAGTACTGTACTCGTAGCACAATCTGTAGTGCCTTCTAGTGGTCGGTTGTGGTAATACATGTGAAAATAGTTTTTTCTGGATTTTTTAAATATTTTAAATATTCTCAGACCATGAATAAGTGAAACAGTGGATATTGATCCCATGGTGCTCACCATCTACTCCAATACTGTCAGGTGTATCAGGGTTTCCTTGTCCCTCCAATGATTTCCCATCTTCCCCCATTGTTTCTTTTGCTCAGAACTGCCTCTAGGGACACTTTTACATCACGCCTTCTCTTCATGTCCTCAAATATAAAATGTAGAATTGCGTCTACCTTAGCAGGTATAATCAAATTTCATTCTAATTATATAGATTTTATTTTGTTTAGTATATTTATATCCAACAAAACTTCCATGAAACCCCAAGCAGCCTTTGTAGAGTTACCAAGCAATTTCTCATTGAATTACTGACCAGACAGTGGATACAATATTAAATAAAGTTTAAACAAATACATGTTGAAAGTTAATGTCCCTGGCCATGCAACCAGGCATTTTAAAATGCAAACATTTAATTAGAATTCGTTCGATTTTTTAAAATGAAGCAAGTTTAACCTTGAAACTGCTGGGTAACATTTCTTTTTCATATTTAGGTGATGTGTTCCACAGTATTACTGCAGAGGATCATAGGTGTTCTGCATCAGCTGCACCACAAAGCAGTCCCACTAGTTTAGCACCACTTTCCTCTCTTTCCCCTGTGGTGCTTTCTCCGGCTTCAACTTCCCATCTCCCAAGCCCTAATACTCCATCATTCTCCAGAGTTATCACAACTGCTCCTGGCTTTGTGGATCCCCATCCAGGCTTTTATGCCACAACTGCTGCATCTCCTTCAGCCAAAGAAAATTTGAGTAGTGCTCCATCAAGTGTTTGCAGGTAAGGTTTTACATTTCATTACAAAATAACTATAGAAATACAAAATGCTACCACTCTACCACAGTAAATAAAGAACCCCATCTGTAGTTCTCAAGGATATACACACATACCAAAACTCACCATTACATTATGCAAGATATCAGTCAATATATAAATAGTTATCTAAATATCTTACAGCACATATAATAGCTGAAATATTTGTTTTGAAATTTGATGCTCTGTCCCCTTCCTACTGTTGCTCAACTTCCTTTCCTGCACACGCAAACATAGAGAGAAGGGGAGAAAGAGAGTGCGTTCTTTGTAAATAAATCTCTGAAGTCTTAATTTTTCTTGTACGGAGTGTTGCTGCTATTGAGTGGCAAGTATGGGAAAACAATACCTACTCCCTTCTTCCTGACCAGTCTTGAGCTTACTCTTGGATCTTGTGTGGTCTGGGCTGCAGTTTATGAATGGAAGGTTGTCATCTGCTGACTGTACATTCTGTTTGAAACTCTCTACTATACTACCAGACTAATAAGACTTGTAACAGATTATGTTTTATGGATATGGAAAATAAACTGACACACTTTAAGCTTAAGCATTTTGCTTTATATAATTTAAGTTGGAATTTGTGGAAGATATACATATATTCTATGCTTATTAAATATACATAATAGATGCAATATGCTTGTAGAATTCTGACAATATGCTTTTATTTCCAAACTCATTGCTTGTTGAATAAAGACTGACTTTTATTAACTTTTAAAAAAAGAAACCTGAAAATAAAACCAGTGACCAAAACCCTGTTGGGGAAAATGCACACATAAGGCAGTAGCAAAAGTGATTTCTCTCTCTGATTTGTTGTCCATCCTACTATTGGGGGCATAATCGTTCATGCAACAAGTGAATGCTGGAAAGCACAAAAGGACAGCAGAGTAAAGAGCAAAGGTGACAGGATTCTGGCCATTAACTGCAAATGAAAAGACAAAAAAGATTCTGAGATAAATTCAGGTCAATATTATTAATACTCTGCTATGTAATTTTTGATAGTATGTGTACTTTAACATTCTGTTACTGTAGTTTCTACATATGTATTTGGTAGCAAATGTTTCTGAACTCATGTGACTACACAGTGGAGAAAATACCCTTGGATCAATTGTGTTCTGCAGATTTTCAAATGGTACTCTGCTAGTGAAATTGCTGCAGTTGTATAGACAACAAACAGTTTGCAGGAAGCAGCAGATGTAGCAGAGGCAGAGAGCTGTGTTTGCCCAGAGCTCCAGCAGCAGAAGCTGCCTTTGACAAGATGCTAATTGGCAATTTCCCTCTTTTTAAAATTTAGTTTTCTTAAGTGACCTAGTGATGCTGTGTTCCATCACTGCCTTGAAAGCCTTTTTACCAAAACAAACAAACACTGTTTGCGGGCAACAGGTGATTAGTTGAGGGGAACTGACATCCCCATGCATACCTCTTTGATTTTGGATCATGCTGGGCAGAAAGTGGACAAAATCAATGTCAGCCCAGTTGGAGCAAATTTAAACCACCCCTGCTGGCTGAGCAACAACAAAAAAGATAAAAAGAGACAATTCCACAATGGACTTCCCTCCATTAAGCTGTACATCATGTAGTTGCCAGGTTTTTATTTGCATTCATCTGTGCTTAATCCATTGCAAATTATGGGTGAATTGGCCAAAGAACTCACCCTTCACTGGGACTATTTCAAGTTAGTGAGTCAGTCATATTGAGGTGCAAGAATTAACTGGGAAATTGGGTAAAAGAAGAGTATAAAACACCATATTGTACTTCTGTTGCTGGAAATTTCTGGAGGAACCAACTGTAAAGTTTGGTAGTAGGGGCATTGAAACCATGAGATCATAAGTACTGTATTGATGTCCTTACAGTGAAGTCAAGGTATGTCCTGCTTCTCTTGCAATGCAGTGTCAAGAACTTAATTTTCTTCTGTTGGCATTTGTGAGACTTGTTCCTGTTCCCAAAGACAGTGTTTTTCTTGTGTCTTTTGCAAAAACCTTTAAGAGATGTGACAAGGTCACCTCTTTTTCATCTGGTTTTCAACACATACACCCATTTTGTTACATCAAAGTTGTAAAGGTTACTGAAAATACACCACTTACATTTTGCTATTAGCTGCTGGTCTCTCCCCCCCCCCCAGTGAGATAGCTATGGAAGAGAGTTAAGACAAAAACAGAAAGAAAAAACATTGTGATATTCACTTTTATACAGTAGAGGCCACTGCATCATATGTTGGTGTCTTCTTTTTAGACTTGGTTAACATTTTTTGTTTTAATGCAGTGATCCTGATTGTGAAGGCCAACACTGTGAGAACATTAGTATATATGATCACCCACAATATGATGGTGAAGACAGCCAAGATGATGATAGCTGTTCAGAGCATAGTTCAAGTACGTCAGCATCCACAAACCAAAAAGAAGGAAAATACTGTGACTGTTGCTACTGTGAATTTTTTGGCCATGGAGGAGTAAGTAGGCTCTCTACCCCCATGTTTTATTTTACTATCTTTGTACATTACTTTTACTGTGACAATACACACAAAACTTACTGAATCACATGGAACTGCCAGGTTTACTCAGTCAATTTCTCCCTTAATGTTGGACCCTGAGATGATCTGAAGCAACCTCAGAGAGACACACTGGTTCGGACTAATTCTGTGGGTGGCGGAGGACTTGTACAATATGTAATGTGACGGTATTTGGCGAAAATTGAGCATTTCCTCTTCCTGTCCCAGGGTCCCAAGGAATCCTTTTTATCATCAGGAACCTTTGTGAACTAGGGATGGAAGGGATAAGTTGCTAATGCCTGGAAATTGCAACTACCGGAACATTGGCAAGTTAGCATATGACAAAAAAGGGATAAAGACAGAAACTTGTTCCTCTCCATTTTTTCTAACTAGTGGTGGCTCATTGTAAAGTATACTACTGATTGACTTAGGGTGGTAGTCTGCTACTGTCGGGTTGCACCATATATGGAACAAATACTGTCATATGCCCCATGAGACTATCCACCTAGCCTGGTATCATCTCTTGTGAGTGGCAATGGCTTCCCAAGTTCACCTGCAGAGAGAGAACCTGCTCCGTTATCCTTTTCACTGAACATGCTGGGGAATGAGTACAGTATTTTTTTTTTGTATGCACACCATGTGATATTCTACAGAGCCCTTAGTCCTTCTCCTAAACACATGCAAACATATATTTTGATCAGTAAATCTTCCTCACCTTTTTATTAAGAACCTTACTAATTTTACAAAAACAGTGAAGACACTTGAGGCATCTTAAAAACTAGCAAGTGTTATTTGGCATAAGCTTTTTTAAAAATTTGACATAAGACCACTTCTGCAGATGCACACTGAAGTTTATATTCAGAATTCATAGTACAATAACAAAAATATATCTATCTATCTATCTATATCTATTTATATCTATCTATCTGTCTATCTGTCTATCTATCTATCTATCTATCTATCTATCTATCTATCTATCTATCTATCTATCTATCTATCTATTGTCTGTCTGTCTGTCTGTCTGTCTGTCTGTCTGTCTGTCTGTCTGTCTATCTATCTATCTATCTATCTATCTATCTATCTATCTATGTATATATATATATATATATGTAAACAAAGTAATCACACAGAAAAGTAGAGTTTTGAAGATTAATTAGACACATATAAATATTCTGTTTTTCAACACTAGCAAAAGAACTCTATGGGATGTGGTGGAGCTGCGGGTTAAACCGCAAAGCCTCTGGGCTGCAAGGTCGAAAGATCAGCAGTTCGAATCCACACGACGGAGTGAGCTCCCGTTGCTTGTCCCAGCTCCTGCCAATCTAGCAGTTCAAAAGCCTGTAAAAATGCGAGTAGATAAATAGGTGCCACCATGGTGGGAAGATAATGGTGTTCCATGTCTAGTTGCATTGGCCACGTGACTACGGAAACTGTCTGCGGACAAACACTGGCTCTATGGCTTGGAAACAGTGATGAGTACCACCCCCAAGAGTCAGACATAACTGGACAAATTGTCAAGGGGAACCTTTACCTTTACCTTAAAAGAACTCTCAGCTTTAACAAAACTTCCTATGTTTTTTCATTGATTTATTTGTGACCTGACATCTCTTTAATCTCAGCTTTTCAGTTAATTTGGATAATTCTGCAATTTCCCATACTGTGATCTTATTTTTAGTATTCTTGGATTTCTCTTTTTTTAAAAAAGTTTTAAACATGGGAGAGAAGATGCACATTTAGTATCATGTTATTTTATATTTCAAGCAATACAATTTTAGTAGAAATAATTCTAAATTAACTTGGATCTTCATGTTTGATCTGAAATGTTTCCTTATTTTACCTGCAATTATTATACTATTTTTTGTAAGTTGTGATACTCAATTAGAGATGTGTCAGTCATTTTAAAAACAGAATGCTGAGTTTTAAGCAGTGGCATAGAATTTTGGAGCTCTGTTTCATTTAATTTTTAAAAATTTCCTGCCAGCCACCAGCAGCACCAACCAGTCGAAATTACACTGAAATGAGAGAAAAACTTAGGTTGCGTTTAACAAAGAGAAAAGAGGGACAACCCAGGAAACTGGAGCTGAACTCAGATAAGGAAACTGTTATTGATCATCGAAAAGTAGAAGACTTGCTACAGTTTATAAACAGCCCCGAGACAAAGCCAGTAAACAGCACACGGACAGCCAAAAGAGCAAGGCATAAACAAAAAAAGGTAAGCCCAGATCTGTGTTAGCAGGAGCCATGACAGGGAACAGACTTGATGATCTGTAGCAGTGATTCCAACCTTGGGTAACCCAGGTGTTCTTGGACTGCACCTCCCAGAAACTCTGGCCCACACAGCCTGTGGTGAAAGCTTCTGGAAATTGCAGCCTAAGAACACGAGGGCTACCCAAGGTTGGGAACCACTCATATGGCCCCTTTCAGTTCTGCAGTTCTAAGACAAGTGTTGTTATTCTTAAGAGCTTCCCTCAGAGTAATTAACCCTTTTCCATTCTTTAATAAGGGAGAATTGTCTACTGAAAATAACAGACCATAACTGAAATATAATCATATTTTCAGTAGCTGATTGCCAACTTTAAGATTTTGTCAAAAATGTTGCAGAATTTCTTAACATTAAGAGTAACCCTAAACCTAAAATATTTGAAGAAATATTGGTTGAAATCCTTTTGCTTTGTTATGATGTAGAAAGCAAATCTGTAATGCTCAGTCACTTCTAGCTGGCAATTAACAAGTTCCTGCTGGGATTCTTCTGCTGCTCAACACAGTAGGGACTTATTAATTGCCATCTAGAAGTGACTGAATGTTATTCCTTGTGCCTTCAACATGTATAACAAAGTAGCAGGATTTCTGCCATAAATCTACACAGGTTCTGATGAGGTAATAACTTCTTTGGTTTTTCTTTTTGTGTGCATCCATTGTGGTTAATAGAAAAGTAAAGATTTGTGGTTGTTCCTTATATTGTAATGACAGTAGGATCTCTGTGTCTGTGGGGGATTGGTTCCCCCACCCCCGCAGCTACTGAAAAGCACAGAAAGTAGTAAATGCATGACGAGTACAGGCAATAATTATTTAAAGGGGAAAAAAGCACCTCCCATCCTCTTCAAGTTCAACTGCCCAAGCAAGTTGTGTAGCTAATCTGCCACCAGATTAGCTAGACAAATAGACCCTTACAAACTGGGTGGCGACAGCAAATCTCTATTTTTCTTTTCAAGCCCAGAAAATGAACAGAAATACTCACATTTTTGTTTGTGTGCACACCCCTGTCTGAAATCTGTAGGGGGAGGTGGATAATGGAGGGGTGTAGAGCAGGCAGTGAAGGCAGGAGAAGGGTGAGAGCCAGTTGGGTCCTCCTCTTTCTCTCCCTCCTCCTCTGCCAGCATTGGAAATCAGCACATCTGCCTCTGGAGCTCAGACTCAGAGCTGCCACCCATTTTTACCCGATCTCTCCAGTTCTCGGTGCAATCACAGCCATTTTGGCTTGCTAGCAGAAAATGGGATTGGAGCACCCATTCCTCACTCTGCCTTGCTTTGGCCAAGGGTCCGACCCAGCCTGCAGTCATGTCTACAAGACCTTGAGCGGGAGGGAAGTAACAAGGAAAATCCCATCCTCTGCCTGGCCTTGAGTGGAGTTCTTCCCTGCCTCCTACTTGATTTAGGCATTCTGAAAACCTGGCCCGAACCCAAGCAATGAATCTATAGTACCAGAAGAGTTGACCAGTTACCGCGGTTAAGTGAAACGATGGGTATTGATTCAGCGGATACAGGGGTGCTAGTGTATGAGATATCTTTTTGAATTCAGTTTTGAATTGCAATAGATTCTGAATTCAGTTAGAACTGTTCTTATTCATTGAAGAACAAGGAACATCCTACTTGCATTTGGATAATTTGTTTTAACTTCTGTCTAAACAATGTCAAAAACAGCTATAACTTACAGTAAGAGTTGTTTTAGGGACAAATCCATTAAAATATATGGACAGTCAATGACTGTGAAGCAAATCAGATCGAGTCTTACTGGTATTTGAAAATCTATTTGTTTTAAATTAGGAATGGAATGAACTTTATAGAGCTAACCAGTGAAAGAGGGATACGTTTGTTTATAATACCATAAGTACTGTATAATGGAAATATTTGGTTATTTTTTAATATTAGAAGTTAAATTGCTTCCTATGTGTGCAGATGAAATTTGTTGTCTTTGACTTTAATGGATCTAGAAATTATTAGAATAATATTCTAAACATGTATTCCTAAAAATGCATCCTCTGTACTGGGACTAAAATTCTCTAAGGAAGGCAGAATATCCCATCTGGTCAGAAAGCAGAACCGCCTACATTTTTTTTCCCAGTGGGAAGATTCCCACAGTTTTCCAGATACGCTGTGCCATCAGAGTAGGATTCTAGTGTATTTTCTTGAACAATGTGCCAGTGTGTGTTTTTTAAATATATACTTTCTTTCTCCTCTTTACCTACAGTAAGCTTCAGGGGGAGAGGGGAGGTTAGGAAAGAGTTAGTTCTTCCTAACTGTATTTCCTACAGAGCATTAAACACGTGGGGTGGGCTGATTCTCTCATCTGACTAACCTGCAGTAGTTCTTTCCCAGTAACAAGCAAACAACTGGAAACTTCTTCAGTTTTTGCACCATGCCAGCTATGTTCTTACTTCATCTTCTCCTTCCCTTTGGTGTTTTATTGATCAGAAGAATGCAGGGCTTGCTTTGCCTGTTGCCAAATGAGGATGGACAGCTTCTTTCACTATGACCAAGGTTTGTCTGCTGGACTGGGCTGAGTCTTTAATGCAGACCAGCTGATTGACAGCCCATAAAACAATGGTTCTCCTTCATGGTCTCTGAGAATTCACACTAATGGGTTAATCCGCGCTTGTGTGGAGCAGCCTTGGAACTTTGTAGCTCAATCACATGGTGTCAGGACCTGCCATACGCTGGCTATAACTGTGTCCCCGGCACCGAGTGCCTCAGTTCGTTTCTTGCCGGTGGAGCAGCCTCGGAACTTTCTAGCTCAATCACGTGGTGTCAGGACCTGCCATACACTGACTATAACTGTGCCCCCGGCACCGAGTGCCTCAGTTCCTTTCTTACCACCGCTGTTGCAGCTTCGTTGGGAACATCATGCAATTGAATCAAACAAACATACCTTTCCCTTTCTTCTTGGATCTCCCTGGCTTGATCTCGGACCGTCTGCTTCGCTTTGTCTCAGTGAGTTTATTCTGGAAGCCCAAAATTGGACTGTTACTCAGGTCATCTGGTTTTGAGTTTATGTCGTTGCAGGGCCTCTTCAAGAGGTGCAAGGTTTGCTCAAATAAAATTCCCCTTTCCAATGGGCATACTTGTTTATTCTGCCTTGGGGAAGAACATCAACCGGCTACGTGAATCCTTTGTAAAAGCTTTACCAAACCGGCCCTAAAACTTAGGATTCTTCATTGTGGCCTCTGTCAATGCACACAATTGGGTTGTTCTGTGTCTGCGTACGACGTCTCAGAAGTTTCTAGAGCTTAAAGACATGTGATTAATAGGACATTCCCCCGTGGAGCGCATGCTCTGCCCTCCCAAAGTCCCCTCATTTCCTTTTTGCCACCACTTTGGTTGGACTTCTTTTGGAAGGCTAGAGCGAGTACTGAGATCAATTTAGCTATTTCAGTCATCTCTTTCATTGGACATTCCCCTGTAAATTATCAATTTCCTTTTTGAATCTCCTTCATTCATTTTTTTCTCCTCCTGCATTTTTTCTTTTTCCCCCACCTATCAATTTCCTTTTTGAATCTCCTTCATTCATTTTTTTCTCCTCCTGCATTTTTTCTTTTCCCCCCGCCTTTCCCTTCCCTTTCCCCCTACTTTTATGGGGCCCCCAGGGCCCTTCAAGCGGTGCGTGCTCTGTATGAACAAGATCCCACTTACCGACAGTCACGACCATTGCTTCTTCTGCTTAGGGGAACAGCACCAAACACACTCCTGCCCCGAGTGCAAAAAGCTTACTAAGCCCGCTTTGACACTACGCCTGCAAAGACTTAGGTCTTACCTTTGGGAAAGGTCTCATAATCTGGCCTCGATGGATCCGACAACTTCTCCAACTCCGCATTAGGATGGGAAGCTCACTGTCAACATCACAAGATACATGGTCTATGGACAAAACAAGAACAATTATTACACATCAACCATCTCAATCTCTTAGCAATTATCAGGGCCTTCCATGCCTTCTTACCTCTCATTACAGGACGAGCAGTACAGCTAGCTAGAGACAGTACCAGAGCACTGTACTATATAAATAAGCAGGGAGGTACCCACTCCCTTTTGCTCTTTTATCTGGTGGTCAAACTTTGGGAATGGTGCTACCTACACCACATCTTCACTGTAGCGGTCCATGTCACCACACACAACAACCTTCTTACAGACCACCTTAGTCATCTTACCACAAGGACACACAAGTGGGCACTGAATGACAAAGTTTTTGACCTCCACTGTCACCAATGGGGTGTTCCGTCCATCAATCTCTTTGCCTCTGAGAGCAACAGCAAGTGTCAACGGTATTACTCCTGAGATGGTATCGACATGAACTCACTCGGAAATGCCTTTTTGATAGACTGGGTCAGAGGCCTGCTTTACCTATTCCTTCCAATTCCACTCAAATGCCATCCTCCTTGCCCGTTTGTGGCCACGTCAACTGTGGTTCACCCACCTGAGATCGATATCGAACGACGTGTTCCATCTCCTGTTGATCCCCAACCTTCTGACCCAAGACAATGGGGTGATTTACCATCCTGACATAGAGACTCTGAACCTGACAGCATGGACGATATTCCCATCATTCGGAACGTACTAGATCGAGCTCAAAAGCCATTGACCCTAAAATTATACCAAAATCAATGGAAATCTTTCCTTCTTTGCTCATTTTCAGGACTTACCTGCAACACCAGTTTCTTGCTTACCTTTAACCTCCATCTCTTTCATCTTGGATCTCATTCTACCTTGAAGGTTTACATTTCAGCTGTTGTAGCTCACCAGCCTTCTCATTGTGATTCAGCAAGGCTTTTTTCCCACCCAACTTTGAAGAAATTCCTCAGGGGACTCCAAAATATTCGGGGGGCCCACAGCAACATCCTCTCCCTCAATGGTCCTTACAACTTGTCCTCAACGTGCTCACTCGATCACCCTTCGAACCAATGGTTACTTCCAATCTCAAATTACTTTCTCTAAAGACATCCT